TGTAGATTTTTGTGTCCTACAGGGACCATTTGGGAGAGGTGGCTTGGGGCTGCTTTGGAAGGGAGGGGAGCTCAGGTTCTGTTCTCTGAAGTCTTTTTTTCCTTCCCCATCCTTACCTTCTTTTGAAAGTCTTCTCAAATGACTTCCTCTTTGTTAGTTACTTTGAGCCTAGCAGAGTTTGTGTGGGCCATCACTGAGGCACAAGAAGGCAGATGGCTGAGGAGACAGGTGTACTTTGTTAGAATAAATAAGCACCCATTTGGGGAACAGTTTGGCTGAAAGTGAGAATTGGCCTATTAATATTCATGTCATCTCTACATGGCGATTTGGAAATGGATACATACTGCTCATTAATCACCAAAGTTAGGCCATCTTTCCCCTAAAGTCAAGGTGAATTTTCTTTTGTATAGCAGAGGGGAGGTTTATTATTTTTTCCTGTTATCAGCTAAATCCTTGAAATGGAGGAACTTGTGAAAATTTTCTGATTAATTCCTTTACACATCCTAAACTGCAAACTGCAGACTTGGAAAGAAACATTAAGTATTGTTGATCACATCACTGATTAATTTGTAAGGAAATTAAAGTAGCTACTGTAGTTACATGACTTTGCTTTTAAGTGACCTAACTATGTAATTCTGTGAACACTGGCTTTGGGAATGTGCCATTTGGAGTGAGCAAAAACTAGCCTGAGCTTATTCATTGGTTTCCTTTTATTTGTGTCTTACCTTTGTTTCTCAAAACTTAAATAGAGGGAAAGCACTAATATGAATCCTATAAAAGGCTCCTCATATTTTGAAGATACAGGATTGTGGTCCATGCATTGATGCATGTGTCAGAGGGTCCTCAAGACCCGTGCTGTTTTCATAGTAAGGTGATTCCATTAGCTCTCCTGACTCTCACTCTCATGAGTGTACAGTCTGTTTTTCAGCGGTTCCATGATGGCAGCAGATAAAATACAGAGACTGACATGAGAATCAGGTGATCTTCTAATACAGAAATCTGTTAAAAAAAAAAAAAAGAAACAGAACTATGCAACTTTATGTATTTTTTTTTATTTTGTAAAGTGCAGTGTTTTTTTTTTGTGTGTGTGTTTATCACAGATGAATCAAATAAATTAAATTTATTATTTTTAAGTGAATTATTAGATCTATTTTAAAATTTCACTTTGTTTTCTAATTGGTAAATTCTGTATATGTATTCTATTACATGAATTCTCTTCACTTTTCTAAGTATAAAGGGGTTTTGAGGCCATCAAGTTTGAGACCTTTCGATTTACATGTTTTTGGCTTTAAGGCAAATAGCCCTTTGCTTTCTTTTTTTCTAAATAGTGTGCTTTCCTATGTAATATGTAATTTTACCCTCCCACTGTGCTTGTGATAATTGAGCAAGTTGATAAAGGGCCATCACTAGTGAGGTACAAGACATGTGATCGCCACATCTTAATGAAGTGGATTCTCAAGTCAGTAAGCAGTGGTGACTTGGGGATGCTTCTCTAGCAAGGGCTCCCTAGCTTCCTGGGGGGTGGGGGTGAGGAGCTATTCTAAGACTTAGCTCTTTCTGACCTGGTTGAAATGAAAAGGAGAGACATGTCTAACCTTTTGATGTTGTGACTTACATGATGATGTCACAGCCTACAGAGTTATCACTAGAGAACCACATAATTGAATTACAAAAAAGAAACAAAAGAAAACAACTCCAGGCCTGCCTTATGCCTATCTATGTTCTCTCGATTTCAGGGAAGAGTATCTATGTAAATTTGATATTTTTCTGCATGGGAGATTTTTCCTCTGTTCTTTTATTGTTTTTCAATGGTACATAGTAGTATGGGTGCATAGATTTTTATATTTTTCGTTGTGAGCTTAGCCTTTAATGGCTGAGCCATCCCTCCAGCCCATGGATACATAGATTTTATACTTGGGGTTATAGATTGCTTTTATTTTGTTGCTTAAAATACTTCAGTAATGAATTAGTTAGTTCTTTCAGTTCCTCCTGTGCTTCTTTGAGTGTGGGTTGGTTGTTTGAGTACTACCTCTCTGACACTGAGAATCCAGTAAGCTCATTTTGTATATTTCCTATGCGTTTCTAAAGTCAACCACTTCTCCTAGCACTGGTTCCTTTGATTGCAGAAAATGTACCAAGATCTTGGCAGTAGGGTGTGCTCATTTCTCTTGGGGTGTTTCTTTTAGGCCCTTTCAGCTGACAAAAAAAGAGATGTGTGTGTACAGTTACTCTTGAGCATGCACATACTTACAGTATGCACATTTCTGTGTGAAACCATCTGTGTTTACATCAAGACAGGCATGAGTTTTCACATTTTCAACTATAATCCATCATCACTTGGATCACTCTAATCACAGCACTGAGAACCCTACCGTATGCTCTGTTTACTTAATTGTTTGTTACATATATAGCAGTGTCAGAATTGTTAACCTGTACCCCCATGGGAAGCAGTTTTATCAGAGTACAGTATTTATATGCACTTTTTATTTTCATCCATACAGACCCCTTTCATTTCAAGACTTGCTTACTTCACCTTTTTTCTCTGTCCAACTCTTACTAAGACTATCTCATGCTGGGTAGTAGTTGTGCATGCCTTTTTTATCCTAGAACTTGGGAGGCAGAAACAGGTGGATCTCTCTGATTTTGAGGCCAGCCTGGTTTACAGAGTGAGTTCCAGGACAGTCAAGGCTATACAGAGAAATCCTGTCTTGAAAAACCAAAATAAATAATAAAGTGCTAAGTTTTGATTAAAAGCATACTATGGTGTCTTTGCTATTATGTTATACAGAACAGTCTCATCACCTAAAGGATCTGTGTCTCATCTATTAATCCCTCACCTAGACCTCTCAAACTCCTGATAAATGGAGTAAACTGTGCCTACTTTTGCCTTTTATACACTGCAATTTTAACTATACAGGATGTAGACTGGCATTTTTCACTTAGCAATATGCATTGAAAGCTCTCTCTCTCTCTCTCTCTCTCTCTCTCTCTTTCCTTCCTCCTCTTTCGTGTGTGTGTGTGTGTGTGTGTGTGTGTGTGTGT